AGATTGGATGGCGCAGAAGTGTTCAGTAAGTGTTGGTTGAATTATCAGAAGAGTAAATGCTTAAAGTGGTTTTTGGATTATATATACTGAATAGTGACATTTAGAAATTGTATGGCGGGAAACCCAATACAGAGTTTTGAAAACGTGTCTAAGGCAATGATGACTGTAATTTGGAAGGGATTGAAGACTGTCCTTTGAGGTATGAACAGGCTACTATTTGAATCTTTCTTATGCACCTGATACTGAAGGGGAGTTGATTGAAGTAATGGGTTTTATAGGGTTATGCATATATCTGGTGGAATATTCAAGAAGAGCTCAAAGAATCAATATGATTTCAACTGTAGGGGAATAAAAACAATTATGACTTTAGGTGACAGAGTGAAGTGATTGCTCTTAGGCTCTCCAATATATACCCTTTCTAAACTTTTAGAAGGAATTTTTTGGCTTATTTTTTTCTAGGACAATACCCAATGATTAGAAAGGCACAATTAGCCATCACTGTTTGAGGGTTATGGGCCAGGCACTGTGTTTATAACGGGCACTTAGATTCACATCAGCTCATTTAGTTAATAGAATAGCACTAAGGGGAGGACAGTATCATTCCAATTTCACAGATGAAGCTGGGGTTACTGCACACCTTACTCCAGGTTTCACAGCTAGTAAAGGATAGGCCAAGGATTCAGATCCAAGAATCTGAACTAAACTTTTCAGATTCCTAAGCCTATGGCCAGAGTTAAACATATTGAAAAGGGATGGTGTAGTCTCAACATTTCCTCATAGAACAACAGTGAAAAAGTATTTCTGTTGATGAACTTTAACCAATGTATCTGAACAAATGCTACTTAGATTTTGATGAATCTACCACATTAACCATTATTTGGAATCTTCTCTGGTAAGTTTTCTCTAATCTAGACTCCCTTTATATATCCCAACTCCTGGCCACTTGATTAAAATGTGCTGTCAGACAGATGGGCACTACCATATTTCAATGCCACATACTTACTAGTTGCAGTCATGCTTACAATCAAATATATGACTAGAAAAAGACTGGTTTTGTCTATTACAACTAGTCTTGACTTGCTAACATTGTTTGACAATATGTTACTAAATCTTTTTATTAATGTGGAATTTAGTGCAAGATTTCTAATTCTAGAAGGCAGCTCTTGTATACAGAATAGCAAAGGACTTGAAATAAAGGAGCATAACTTTTTTGACCCCCCTACTCTGTATCAGTCACAATTAAAACATTTTATTTCACTTTTCCCCCAAACTACCTTGCAAGGCAAGGTCATTGAGGTGTCCTTTTTTTCAGATGAGGAAGACAAATTTTGGAGAGACTGTGGAATTTGCCCATGCATGGTGAGAGTCTAGCTGGGGTTCCAGCCCAATCCTGTTGGGTCTCAGTACCTCTCCCCATTCCACGAAACCCCTCTGATGTCTATCTCAGCAAGGCCTGACTTATAACATGATTAGGAGTGTATTTGCCAAATTGTCATTAAGCTCTTTGTGTCTTTGTTTATCTTTAAGATAAGGAAAAAACTATCTACCACTCAGGGACTAAACACACTAGCAGATCCAAATCATTTAGCACAGTACCTGGCACAATATGGAGATTGATGAATGTTGCTTTAGTTTATATAAATTATCTGAGACAGGCAGGAAAAAGGAACTTTCCATAATTTGACATCATTGAGCCTTTTTCCCCCCATGCCCATGAGAGTCAAGAGCATAACCATTCCACTAATGAAATCCGAAGGAACAGGGTTAACTAAATTTGCTTTTCTCTTTGAAAACTGGTAACCTATGTATGGATAGAGTACACTAATTCAGTTAACTGACATGTCAGGATCATGGTGAAAAATGTGGAGTCTCATGATGGATTATCCAGTTGGCAAAGTAAGCATGTGTGTAGGGAACTGGTAAGTCAAGGACACCTGAGATATGAGAAAGGTGCCAGCTGTAGTGAATATTTGCAGAATTTTATAATCCAAAAATCTAGAAAGAAGCTGTAAAGATGTAAGCATTCATTTATATTTTGTCTTTGGACTTAATAATTTAAAAAAGAAATTGTCGATATGCCAGGAAACCTGGAGAGAAGGCATCTAAAGCTTTCCAGGGCTTAAGACATTATATAAGCAAGGTTCTGCCAAACCGTTAGAAGTTCGTTGACTTGTAGCATATGCTTATAAGTTACCAGACATTTAAAAAGAAAAAGTATAGTATCCAATAATACTTCCCAGAATACAATGTTCTGTCATCTTACCTGTTCAGAAGTGTTCTCCAGCTCAACCTATCATAGCAATCCAAATAATAATGCCTCAGTTGACAGACAACAGTTGTGTAGTCCATAAATATGCCACTTCTAATAAATGTATAGAAGGAATTAGTAACTGGTTAGAACATTTTATTTCACGTGGTCCTAGCTTACTTTTAATAAGATATGACATGTTTAGCTCTAGTGTAAGATCTCTTACTAAATGTTTAGAAAATAAAAATGCATCATCATACAAGGTTTGGGGAAGAACATTTTATTGCTAAGCATATCCTTGAACCAAAATGCAAATATAAAATAAAAGAGAAAGGAAAAAAGAAAAAGCAGTAACTTCACAACATCATAAAATAAATTCCTTAAGAGTCTGCTCATAAAACAACAGGAATATGATAGAAGCTCACATACAGAGTGCACATGTTCCCATAAAATTGTCCAAATAGAAACTTACACTGAAAGGAATATAACAAATGTATTTTTACTCAAAAAAAAATTTAAGAAAGAAATCAGGAAATCAGTTCACAAGACCTCAAGACTCCAAAAACAGCAATCTTTTACAGACATCGAGATATAATCAACTTCATATAGGTTGGGCCATTTAAGTTATCTAAAGTCGTGCTTTGATATCTCTTTATAATCCTGTCTTTTTTAATGACAACAAAAAAATCTGAAACTCATAACACACTGAAATATCAGATAATGAGGAACATCTCTTTCCATATACATCCATCAAGGCTACCATCGTTTCGATTGCGCTTTTTGCCCCGTGTCTTTAAGATATTTCTCGAAATCAAGTATTCATGCAACTTACAAAGACCAGCAAGAGTAGATTTCTAAATCTAAACAGCTTATTGGTTTTCATCTGTACAAAAGAAATCGTATATATCTGACCCTCCAGAAGACATACTTCATTTCTGTGTGCATGTGTGTCTTGTTTTGTCTCTTGCTTTTGGGATTTTCTTTGGCCACACAACCAGTTTGTTTTTCTGTACATTGTTTCCTCTTTTCAAAAAGAAAGACAGACAACTGGAATATAAACCAAACGAACCGAAACAAACCCATAGAAAAGAACAGACAGTTCTTAAAGCGGTTATGTACATAGGTGGCTAAGGAATTTATACCAGCAAAAATGTAGTAAAATATGTAAACAAAATCTGAGAAGATTGTTTATTCTCTTTGACACAGTTAACTGTGACAAAACTAAAACTCACACTTTCTTCACATTTTAAGGTTTACTTTTTTGTTGTTTTGTTATTTTCTTTTAAAACAACAGTCTCATTCCACTTCAAGACTTGAACAGTTTTCCTGTTTCAGTCATCCCATCAAACATACCATGATAAATATATCTGTATATATATTTATTTATATATATATTATACTATTAAATTCCTTTTTGTGTGTGTGTCACAGCAGCTTTGTTCATTTATTATTTATTTATTTGTTTTTAGAAAAGATGGGTGAAGGGAGACGTGAGCGAATGGAAGGACAGAGTTATCTGTAAGTGTCAGGCTACAAAATTAAACCACTATGAAAAACATCATGTTGGGGGGCGGGGGAAGAACTATGTCTTTTGCACTCTGTCACCACGTTTGGCTTGTGTGACCTTTTGTGGATCCATCACACGTTGAACTCCCCTACTGTCTGTTTTGATTCTTTAACAGACTTTTAGTATTGTCTTGTCTTTTATTATGTGCATGCATTTCAGTCAGTCACATATCCAGCCCACCCCCTCTTCCCCTTCCCTGGGAAAGGCTCTGTTTTGTGGGGCTCTCTCCTTTACCACGATTCGGCTGGGCTAATGAACAGGAACAATATTGTTAAGTAAAGCCAGTAGCTCTGATAAAACCAGCCCTAAACCCATCTGGTCAGGGTTTGGGTGGCAAAATCTGAAATTAGATCCTGAGGGACCAGCTTTACAAATCAATGCCATCATCCATCATGTGATTTTGCTATGTGTTCAGCAAAGCATCATATAGGAAACAAACAACAGATTCTAGAAATACCACAACCTGATATGTAGAGTGAACACCATGGTAGCTTTTAAGTTCATATGGCAATAGTCTCTCTTACTTTCGTTTTCTGAGTTTTTTTGTTTTGTTTTGTTTTTTCTTCTTCTTATGTCCAGTCATTCTCAAAAAATAAACAAAAACCCAAAAGCCATTTTTTTTTCCCCTCAGATCTTGAAAAGTTACACGTACACTGGCCAAAACCAGATAAGGGTGGGTTTTTTTGTTTGTTTTCGTTTTTAATTTTTTTCATTTTTTTGTTTTTGTTTTTTACATAATTAAACCAAAAGAAAAAAAACATCGTTACAGTCAAGCTTCACAAACATCATTACAGACTCACTTGGAGTTATAGAACAAGTAAGCCATGAAGTCTTCTACCTTGGGTGAAAAGTCCTCAAGAGAAGGAAGCTTCCAAGTCCGCGAAAGTGGGGGAGCCATCGGCTTGCTCCAGAGCGCAGAGTGTGTGCTTTATGATACAGCAGGGCAGAGAGAATGTTCTGTCTCCGAGCAATGACTGAATCAAAGCAGCCATGGCTGAATTTTATAGGTAGGTACATCTTTGTGTGCGTCCTTTTTAAAAATGGTTTTCCCCACCGTAGTCATGGTACACCCCATCTCATAGTAATCACAGTTCTGACATCTGTGAAATTCATTTTCCAAGTATTTATAGATGTATATAGAAATAATTCTGTGTCATAAATTCACGTGACTGTGAGCGGTGTCATTTTTACACGTAATACTCCTTGTCCTTGTTTTTCTGTTTCTTGTGGCCGCTCTTCGAGCTCTGCTGCTTCTCCTTGATGAGCGTGCCGTTGCTCTGGGCCGAGTTGCTGATGTAGTTCCGCGTCTCGTCCACTTGATAGGACCCCTCGTCCCTGTTCCTGTACTTGTACATGGCATACAGGAGGATCAAGATGCAGAGGGCAGCAGCAGCCACAATGCCGACGACCATCCCTGTTGTACTGCTCGACTCCCGGATCACCTCTGAGGCCCCCGGAACCCGTCTGACTCCCGGCTCTGTGGGGTTTGCTGTGGGCACATTACGGAACATGGGGGAAGTAATTAGTGGGCTCTTCAGTTTGGTGCTGTCTAGCTCATAGGCAGTGGGCAACGGAGGCAAGACTATATCAGGCTGGGGTTTGAGATCACGGTTATTCATTTTGCCAGCTGGCAATTTGGGCACCATCCCAGACGAGGAGGAAGCTGTGAAGCGGATCAGCTCAGGGGACAAAGATGTGGTAGTAGTCCTACTAGTTTCGGAGACTTTGTTAGGTCTAAAGTCCTTGGATTCCCACTTGGGCGCATATGCTTTGTAGCCACCTTCGAAGATTGAAGTGGAAAGACTCTTATCTGTTACCAAGGAGAAGGTGGTGTAAAAATCTTCATCATCAGTAGGGGGCAGGTTAGAGTCAAAGGTTTCCCCTGAGCCATACCCAGATATCACCAAGCCATCATCATCACAACCATCGCTGCCTTGGTCCGACAAGCAAGGTAACCCCGCCTCAGAGGTCATGGACAGGGAATCTTTGGTGGTCTCAATAATGGTGAGGAGGGGGCGGAAGGTAGGGGGGAGTGTAATGGAAGGTGCACGAGTAGCAATAGGAGGGGTAGCTAAAGGGTCTTCTACAAGAAGAGGGACAACTAATTCACCTCCTGGGATTAAAAAGAAAAAGAAAAACACAATTAGTATATTTGTAGATAGACACAATTCCTCGTCATTCTCAGTGACTGTATTTCATAGGTTAGGCATCAGAAATTACAACAGAATGACCTCGGTCTGCATATGGATCCTTTCTTGTTGTAGCCTGATCATTCTAAACTGGCTTATAGCCCATTATATGCCTCTTGCCACCAAAATCTGAAATCCCTAGGTGTTAAAGATACTCTCAAGTAATTATTTAGCTAGAGTTCAAGTACGCTGTTTCCAGGATCTGCTCACAAGATAATGACATTCCATGTTACTGTTGGCAAAAACGGACTATCAGAATTGTGGGTGTGCGTGCGTTCATGCATGTGGTTAATCCGGGAGCCCTAGCATTTCTTTATTATTATTTTCTTGGGTTTCTACTTACTTGTCCTGTGAGGATGAGCGTGATGCATTTCTCCATGTCCCAGAGATCAAGATCAGTGAACAAAAAAGACTGTCTTTAGTACTTTAAGCTACTTTTATTAACATTTATCAATTTCAGTCTTCATTTACTGTATGCTAAGTGAGGGGGAACCTAGTAGAGGTTGAAATTGAACTGTTCATCTAACAAACCCTTTTGGACTACACCTTTCCAAAAATTCCCCATTAAATGACAACTCACCTGGCACTGATCTCATATTATGTTCAGGCATTGCTTTGATGCTCTATGCAATATACGCTGAGCTGGATACTATTTTTAAAAATACCCAGACTAGATACCCATGCCTTGTGGAAAATTTAGATTCAGAAACGTAGAGATAGCCAAGGAAGGTTTTAAAATTGGCAATTCTTGTGCCACCTGGGTGTCTCAGTTAAGCGTCTGGCTTCGGCTCGGGTTATAATCTCAGGGTCCTCAGATCAAGCCCCTTTCGGGCTCTGCGCGCGGCTCAGCAGGGAGTCTGCTTCCCTCTCCCACGTCCTCTGCCCCTTCTTGTTCTCTCTCTCAAATAAATAAATAGAATCTTAAAAAAATTAAAATCAGCGATTCTTATCTAGAGTGTGAAAAATAAATTGGTTTACCCGCAGACTCGAGTTATTGCACTTATAAACATGTGGACTAGGCCAGGAAGGAAAGTTCAAAGTGGTTCAGTAAATCATAGTGTGTTGCGAATCATGGGTACCACAAATATTCTGTGGTAGGTATTACTCACCTAATTGTAGGGCCACGTTTATTACTCATGTACGTAAGCAAGATAATTGAGGTCTCTTTACAGTGTTATTTTTCAAACAGAGAAAGAATCTCCAGAAGTCACAGTTATCTCCTCATTGAATTTATTCCAAAAATGTATTCCAGCTGTTTTAAAGAAAAATCCTCTAGCAGGGACGGAATGATGTTTTCCAGTCCCAGTCTGTCAGACAGGTGAGTTGCTAACAGGATATGATTACTGAGCTGGGTCATTAAGCACTCAGCCAGGTGTGATGCTCTTGTGTGTTCTGCCCTCCACAGTAACTGCCTTGATGGGATGGTTGGTGTTCGAACATCTATTGTCAGATAGATGTTCAGCACTTGCTGAAGTGCCCCTTATGGGTAACAAAGTCAGACTCGTGTCTCACAACTGCTAAGTTCCAGGTGGACCAGCCTTTGAGCTTGCATGGTCTTTCCAGGTTCTTCCTACAAAGACTGACTCACAAATGAGAACTCTCCTGCTCAGCTTTCCATACTTTATATCTTTTTTTTTAAAGATTTATTTATTTAGTTGTTTGACAGAAATTACAAGTAGGCAGAGAAGCAGGCAGAGAGAGAGAGGAAGGGAAGCAGGCTACCCGCCGAGCAGAGAGCCTGACGTGGGGCTTGAACCCAGAACCCCGGGACCATGACCCAAGCCAAAGGCAGAGGCTTAACCCACTGAGCCATCCAGGTGCCCCAATACTTTATATCTTTAAAAACATTTCCTGTGCCTCAGTTGGAACTGCTGAGTCTAACCGGCCCCGATTGCAGCTGTGCTAAGAGAAGGGTGTGCCAGGAGGAAGGCTGTTGCGTACCTTCAGAGCACCTGAGAAGAGCCGTTTGTTCCCATGTCAGACGCTTTACTCCAGAATTAGCCAGTAACATTGTGTTATGCAGAGAGAAATGGAGTTGGGGAGGGTGGCAGTAATGGACATAATGTATCTTTGGAAGGCAAGCGGTCATCTCTGTCCTACCTGGTAATGTTACCATATGTAGGGAAATAACAAATGAACTTGAGAATTTCAAGATGGTATTTTGGGCTATGTGCTAACCCTAAGCTGCTTTCTTCTAGGGCTCAAGAGTTTCAAGCTACTGAGTGAAATGATCTTCGCAGATTTGTCAAAGCTTCAGACTTGCTTTACTGGACCACTGTGAGGTTTGGTTTTGTTTTGTTTTACATTGTGAACATATATAATTCATATATCTTGCAGCATATTTAATGAATAATATAAAACTTTTGCTAGTTTTTATAAATGGAATTTGGAGCACAGAGTTCCCTAAAGGTAAGCCAGTCGTAAAACTAACCCTGAGTTTACTTTTCACCTTATTCTTCTGGGGGCGGGGGGAAAGGGTGTGTGGCAATTGTTAATATTTAAGGTGACCCATGGAAAAAGGCCGTGTTTAAGGACAAGAAGGGCTATGAGAAGAGAAGGCCTATGATATGTGTTTGAAGGTTCCCTAGAGATTACTCAGGGACGATTTCACTTTCCTTCAGAGAACAAGACAGGACTTTTTTTTTTTTTTTTTTTTTTTTTAACCCATCTCACCTAGAATAAAAGTTTAGCTTGTGTGTTCTTTTCTGGCACAAATACTGAGAGTCCTCTGTTCCTTAGGACAATGATAAAAATCTGCCCCATGTATATTAAGCAGAGAGGGAGCTGGGATAAAGGACAAGGAATATCATTCTGCTAAAAGTCAAAAGCCTGGTACAAAACATTTAAATATAAAGGCAAATCGTTAACTAGGGTGCTGGTGTCCCTCAAGTGAGATTAAGATTACCGCCTTCATAATTACACAGTGGCATTCATTTGCAATTTTAGTGTACCATCTGGGACACCCAACTGGTGTCTTAGATTTGCCTCCGTTCCCCCCCCCTTCTTCCAATCCTAGCTAAAGCTTCTGCAGTGTCTTTGTTGTCAAAAGTCTACAAAATCCACAAACTGTTCAATCTGCAGTTGAATTGCCCCCCCTTTCCTTTGCTATTCACTTCCCAATTCAACACCTTTTAACCTCTCTTGGATTAAAAGAAAATGAGTAGAAACCATCATTTTCATAATGAAGTGGAGAGACGTAAAGCTCACCAGTTCATAAAAGCTTCTAAAAGGTTGGTGAGCCCTTAAGTGACATGATAAGACCTTACTTTAAAATAATGGGCACACCGCTATTTCAGAGTTTAAATAAAAGGACCTGTCTAAATTACTAAGATTCAGTTTTCTTTGCCATTTTTGTTAATAATCCTGGCAGCAGTGATGAGAAAAAAAATAATAAATGAACCCCCTTGCCAGGGAAGAGTGAGCCCCAATTCTGGTGGTAGGTTCATCAGTGAAAAGGGAGAAAAGCGTTCATAGTCTACTCCCTTTCCTGGTGTCTTAAGATACTAAAGAAAGTCTTCAGTTTAAAGTGAAGTCAGCTGGGCCATGGGAATTGTTACAAAGGGGAATTACAGTGAAAATGAGACGGAAAATTCTAGAGATGTATAAATGCACAAGGTTCCTGGGACAGGTGTGTGAGTTGGTGTGTGTAATCAATTTTAATATCAAATTCCATCTTTAAGATTTAGGATGATTATAGTGTCCTGGGGATTTCCAAGGGCACACATCCTTTGATATGAGGAGATGAAGGATACATTTCTCCCATGATTAGATCCTTAAGAGAAATAACTTGGGTTATAGAGAGCTATTTAAGATTTCATGTTTATTTGTTTTAATCTAGAATGATTCCCTCAGAAATGCTGGAACAGCGGATGATACTTTTTTTTCAGTGCCCAAAGACTATGGAGTCAGGGATCTACCAGATGTCTATGCTTATAAAAGTATTCACTGAAGCAACAAGCCTAAAATCATAGGGGGTTACAGGCAGAAACCCTGCACTGCAGGCCATCCACACCCTAATTTCCTATTCCATTCCCTGAATTCTTCTTTGGCTTGGAATAAGAACTACCTATATTCCTTAACGTTAGCATTTTAAATCAGGAACATATACCCCTTTTTGACAGGGTTGTGCTTTTCTTTAAACTAGAGAGATCACTAGGGATATAAAAGGTCTATTTTAGCCCCGAAGGCTGCCCTGCTTTTTTGCTTTATGAGTGTATTTATAGATATATAATTCATGTGTCTAGGGCTGATACCCAGCAAAAGGGGCTCTCTGCCATCGAAAAAGACAGTGTATTAAAAATTTAATAGAACTTTTCTGAACTGTGAGAATGTTGCAGGTGATGGTGGATGCAGTGGGTCATCTAAAAAAAAAAAAAAAAACACAGGAGCAGCATGAAATTTCAATGTGGCTCCAACCTTTGACTCTCTGGAGATATTTGAGTCTAAGAAGTCACAAAAATACCAAACCAATTACACCAAAGAGCCAGACTGAGAGAGGACACCATGCTCCAGTTCCTCGAATTTCTTTTATGTCTATTTAGGTTCCTTACTTCACCTCTTATTTGCATTTTTCTAGTTCTCTGCTGAGAAATTCACCTAATAAGGAAAAATCATGCTTCCCCCTGCTACATTAGTTGGTGAATGATATTCACCTCATTATTTGGTGCCAAAGCAGCATGTGCATGTAGCACAAAAATCTCCTGAAGCTTGCAGTCCCTGTCCACCTTCAGAAAAAATAGCCGCAGACAAACATGGCAGAATCCCAGGGAGCAGACTCCAGAGAAACTCAAGGGTCTCGAAGGGGCTTTTTAATAAGATGAGACTCTCTAAGTAGGACTTCTTCCCCCCCTAGTTTGTCTGAAATGGATTTGATTCTGAAAGGCTATGGATTCTGTTTTTCAACATATGCCCGGGAAAGATGAGAAGCCTCTGGATATCATTCTGTGTTGTAAAATAAGGAATGTCAAGTGGAGTTTTTCATTGACCTATTGAGTGAGAGATTTGCCACTGGAGTCCCTCATACTCAGGCTGGCATCCCAGCTCCGTAGCTTACTAGCTATGAATTTGGTGAGAGTTCTTAAACTCTCTGAAGAATGGCAATGACAACTTATTCTATCTCAAACCACCAGTGTGAATAATAATAATAATGCACGTTAATGTTAATTTTAATGCATATTAAGTATTTAGCACAAAACCCAGTGTTACTCCAAAATGCTATTACCAGTATTATTTCTACTAACATTTTGGACCTGTAGATACTGAAACCATTGATTGCATCCTTCTGACTTTTTTTTCTTTTTTTTTAACGGAGTAGCCTCATGCTAAGGTACGAGTATAATAATATAGGTTCTACGTTATTGAGGCTATTTTATTTAATTTTTTTTATTTTTATTTTTTTAAACTTCTTTTCAGTGAGGCTATTTCAAATGCAGACTTGGAAGACTGATTTATAAGAATTCTAAGAGCCTGTTTAAAAAAAAAAAAAAGATTACCCTTTTATTAAGTTGACCTATGGATAGCTTCCACAACAAAAATAAATTCTATTAAACAAAATAACATCCCACTTAGGAAGTTCTTGGTTTTAAACCCAAAATATCATCCAGCACATGAAACAATATAAAAGTCATATGAACTGAGAGAAAGCCCGTTCACAAAAGCTTCTGGGTTGGAAATGTATCTGTTAACCACTGTATAGTCTATTTCTATAATAGTTTCTGATAACACAATACCTGAAATTAAAGTGAAACAAGTAATCTCTTTATTTAAAAATTGTATAGCACTTCTTACTGATCCTGTGTTCCCAAAGTGCATAAGGCAACATTAACCCAAATACCTTTAAGGTTGGGATGTTCTCACTGCTAAGGTCACACAAAATGGCAGTACCTACCGACCTGAAAGGTTTCCTAAATAAAACTTTAGATGTGATAATCATCATGTTTCTTCTTGGTAGAATCCTTTTAAAGTTTACCTGATTAAATCCAGGAGAGAAATAGCAACTATTAATAAAAAGGGAAAAGGGGAGGGGAGGCAGAGAGAGATTGGGACATAGGGAGGAAGGTGGGAGGAGGAGGAAGAGGTTAGAAAGGCAGAGAGATTGGGAGATAGGCAGGGTGGGGGTGGGAGAGGGAGGATGAGGGAAGGAGACGGTGAGGGAGAAGGAGAGAGAGAGGTAAAAGGAGGCAGAAGGGGGCAGGGAAGGAAGGAGAAGAAGGGAGAGGGAAGATGAAGGAGAGAGGGAATGAGGGAGAGAGATAGGAATGGAGGCAGGGAAAGAGGGAGAGGCAGGGAGAGAGAGCAGGAGGGAAAGAGAGAGGCAGGTAGGGAGTTGGGGGGGAGAGAGAATTGTGTACCTTCTGTGTATATATGTGTGCTTTCACCAGTACTTAATTCTATACAGTGGAAGGCATCATCAGAGGACAACACTCTAAACAGAGGGGATTCTCCATGCCTTCATTCTCAATAAAATTGATTCCGTAGTCTGCGTTGCTGGTGATGGCATAATCCTGGATAGCCAAACTACCATAGTCACTTGAGAGTATCTTAATTTCCCTTTGCTGAAGGAAAACACAATAAAGGACTGATGTCCCTAAATGTTTTCTGAGGAGTTAAATGAGGATGTATTACCACTGATAATACTTGGAGTTAACTCACTTTCTTGTAGGGGGTCGGGGCCTCCCATAAGCTGAGAGCATTTTACTATCCCACTGTAAAGCCTACCGTTACTTTCAAGGCTTTAAGGTTGGTTCAGGCAAAGAGGCGAGGCTTCCTTTGGATGGTAAGAACAACTCACCCACCCCCTTCTACCAAAAGTAGAGTTCACATTGATCATTAGAAGCAATTCAGCACAGAACATAACAGTGAAAATTAAGCAGAGGGACACAAATGAAATAAAATATTTCGTACTGTCTTCAAATCATATAGTAGAAAATAAAACCAACATAGGGCCAAAGTAAGCTAGAGGAAAGGAGAGCAAATAACATTGACCAGGCATTCACAGTATAATGACAGGGGGGGAAAATAAAGTAAAAGCAAATAAAAAATAGAGGCTGTTTTTGGAAAACAAAGAAAGAAACCATTTCCATAAAATAACTTAAGTGAAAAAAGCATACCGTATTAATTTATAGTCAACTTACATCAACAAATTGCCCGCATGTTTTTTGGCATGAAAGAAAAATTTACAAAAGAAAGTTGTGTAAGAATGCTCTTGGACAAATAGAATTGCCACATTCTTGTAACTTGCTTTTTTGTCGTCACTTCTTAAAAATCTTTTGAGCAAAATGTCTAATTTTTCAAATCTAATAATTTACAACAGAGGATGATACAGGGAGGCAACAACACATACATCCACACCACATAACATGAAAAGAAAAAAAAAATCTGCACTTCAACAAAGTTTTACTTTGAGGGGCTTGGGAGGGCATTGATTCTGAATTTGAAATAATTCCAATTGCGAGGATTTAAAAAATTAATAAAAAAAAACCTGTTTACTTTTTTATAATTTGCCTTTCAAAAAAAAAATCTATGACTCTGGAGGGTTTTGAATGAACTTCTGCACTGATAGAGGTTCTCAGATATATATTTAATTTTTAAATATTTTTGTCTTTTTGACAAGTTTTAGATTTCCTTAAGGGGATGGATGACAGCACATAAATTTGAACAATGCTGAAGAAAGGGGGGTATGGAAGGTGCCAAGAGGGGAGGGTCGTATTTATGAGTGTACTACACAAGAGATGATGATGATGAGGGTGAATGTGTAAGTGAGTCGCCATGTCCATGTAAGGGCGGCACGGAGTGATCTAGCTGCATTAGAGCTTCTGGCTGTAAGGAAGGGATGGGCAATATACAAAAACAAATGAGCCTACACATGCCCATCTACAGAAATAAAGAACAGAACTCTAACACAATCTCACACACCCTAAGCTGCAACTTCTTCAACATGCAATTACTCCAAAAATCATTACAGTGTCATTAAATTAGAGTTTCAAATAATAAAAACAGTTACACTTCTTTCCTACTCAAAGTAGCCAAAATACATAAAATAATACTAATAATAATGACCAAAAGATTAAAAGCAAAAACAAGGAGACTAGATTTATGCATTCAAGTTGAACAACTTCACCAGCAGCCACACAGCCCCATCTAGAGTCAGTGAGGGAAGGGGGTTAGAGACTTGCAGAGGTGATGGAAAGGCAAGCCTGTATGAGGAGCCCACTTGCTGGGTTTCTAATCACTATCCTAGAGAACAAGGGTGCTGTCTGAATGACTTCATCTGTCTTCCCCCCGCCACCCCTGCTGCATGGGATTCCCAGAGAGAAGGCGCTAATTCGAAAGATGTGGATGTGGAGATTCTGCCGCTGAAGTTGTTCCACATTTAAAGAGGGAGTGGGGAAAAATTGCAGAAAACAATTCATCACTTTTTTCTCATAATTTTGGATAAAACCAAATCTAAAGTTAAAGATCTAGCAATTCAAAGAAACATATTGATATATATATATAGATATAATACAAAAAGCACTTATTCCCAAAGAAAAAGGGAGAAAAGAACAAAAATATTTTTTTAAAGAAAAAAAGTATTGCACACACTTTCAGAGATGAACAACCAGATGCACACGCTGAGGAGGCACAGACAGAGCAATAAGGGGACACTTTTTTTTTTTTTTTTTGCTTTTCTGGCTTATTGATTCCCCTTTTGGTGATAGCCAAAATTAAAACCAAATTTTGCATTTTCTTTAAAAAGAAATTTTGCATTTTCTTAATTTTTTTTTTGTTTTGCTTCTTTAAAAAAAATAAAAAGGGCGTGCAGTCTGGATGTACGTCATAAGTAGACATTTGAAAGAGAAGAAAGTGGCTCAGACTGACAAATGGGTAATCTATTCTTTAACTGTAGGAATGGTAATCAAATTAATACATGCTTAAAGTAAGTTGCATTTAGGGAAAGTAGAAAAACAGAACAGCAAGCTAGGGTTGGGGAGAGGTCAGCAAGACAAAACTGATCTGGGGGTGGGAGGAAGGTACGGGACTTAGTCTCATGCCTTTCCAGTAGGGGCAAAGGGCATCGTGTGGCTTTCTGCCAATTACAACAAGGAAAAGAGGTGCACACGTGTATGTATGTTGTGGGCTGAAGTAAAGCCTGTAGTGGCAGGAACTGAGGTAAAAATACATATGAGTTTGTGGTTCTGCTCTAAAAAACTTATCCCATATTCATTCATAGACTTGGCATATTTTGTTAGTCATAGAGCAGTTATAACTGCATTGTTGCCTATGAGTTTTCTGGAGTTTTGCCGAATTGACAGGGTACCATAAGTGACAATAAGGTGTTCATAGAATGAGCCTGATAAATCAAATAGCAGATAGATCAGTAGAGATCTCTATTAGTAACAGGGGCAAACCCCCTCTCCACTCCAAACACAGTGGCACAGTGCCAATATCTGTAAAGTACAGGATAGTCAGGAAATGAGCATGGTTTACTCCAAGTCCACTGGGGGGAACTATACCAGTCTTCTAGAGATCATGTGGGAAACAAATGTTCCATCCAATCTATATAGAGAAAAATGGAAAAGAGAGAGGGAGAGGAGGAGAGTGAGTGGCTAGGGGAGAAGGGGGAGAGAGAGAGTGAGTGTGTGTGTGTGTGTGTGTGTGTGTGTTTAGAAATGGCCTCAGCCTCTACTGGAAGAAATCTCAAGAGTTATATTCAATATTATATCCCTGTGGGAACATTAATGTCCAACCAAGGACTTGGAAACCCAGGCAGGCAAACCACAAAGGTAAGACACTTGAGAGCACCTGGTTCTCACACAATCCTAGTCACTCCTAGGAACTTTTCTGGGTGACTTTGACAAAAAGAAATAAATTGTGAGGATGTGTCAGACTTTGGCCCCCTCTGGGACGCCCCTTTTATTATTTTATTTTAAAATAATTATAGTAACGTGTCCCCCATGGGTCCGTCCGTACCAAGATTTTTAGTCTCTGGTTTAATAATGTTAATCATTATTGTAGGAACTTCACAAAGGGCAGCTGGGAGGTTTTAGAAGGAGGGAAAAAAAATCCCATTCATATAGGAAAAGAAAAACCCTTGTTGCCACTGATTTTTTTTTAAGTAATTATACTTTTAACATTGAATTTTATGGTGTAAGAAGACTCTAAAAATACTCAAATGGCCTCATAAGGCATCAAATGATTTCTGCAGAACAAAGTTTTGATAATACTCAAGTGGGCTGTTTTGGTTTTTGTTTTTTTTTCATAGGTAAATTTTTAAAGTAGGAAACATAACTGGCCTAAGTATGAGATTTAAAGAATAAGTTCCAGTATATACAGAGTCCTGGATAATAAGAGGTGTTAAGAGGGTGTTTTGAGGAGACCCATCAATTTGGGTGTCCTAGTTTTTTACTGAGTAATTTACCTATTTCAAAATAGCCTGTTTTAAAATTCACACAAGTATGACACATCACTTACATTCCAGAAATCACTGGTTGAAACAATCAAACATAGCAAAATTTATGGTTGTCACTTTGCAAATAAAATAAGTATTTTTTAAACCCATGGAAGCCATAGTTTCACTGAAGCCAACACAAACTCTAGTGCATAGACACTTTCATAATATGTCAGCCATAGTTACCTACACACGCTTGTTTGATTTCTAATGTAAGGTACAAAGTAGTATTGCTAGTAGTTCAAAATCATGTCCCAGCTTTATTTTCATCTTTCATCAGCTGTGTTGGGTTTTATCCTCAGTAACTACATAGTTCTGTTACCTATGTCTCTACTTGCTGGGTGTGCAGAACGATTTACAATTATGCCTGCCATTGAGAACAAATAATACAATAATTTGACCTGAAATAGCATATTTTGATGCAACCTTTTTTTTTTTTAATCCCACTGTGTCCAAATAACCCTGTCTAAATGTAAAGTCAGACTTTTAAAACCATCAAATGCAGTAAGATGGAATTCCACTGGTCAGAATTCACCTTGAGGAGTGTGCTTGTTTCAAAGACAAGTTTCTAAACTGCTTGGAGTTGTGTTTGATGCCCTCCAAAGACACACTGATATAACTCAAACCGCGGACCTTTCTCTTTGGGAGAGCGGGTCCTACTTGCGAACGGACATTGTTTTCTGTGTGTACAGGTGAGGCCCGAGAAGAAGACCTGAATGAACTACTTTGTATAACCGCAAACATTTTAAATTTCTGAGGGAAAATAGTGGAGAGAGACAGGAAGAGGCGGCAACCCTCATGGGAGTCTGGTTGCAATTCCAGGAAAAGAGTTAAACCATTCCAAGTAGGGTGGGTAACAGAAAAGTCTGGAGAACAAATACCTACTGAGGATTTTCAAGGTTTTTGTGTTAGATCTATGAGGTAGATCTCCTTTCTGTCCCTCCTACGGCAAATACAAAAACATTTCACTGATTGCTATTCTATATGTCCATGGGAAGAAGGGAGGGATTCTTTCAGGATAATCAATGGCTCAGTTCTGAATCACAGTTTGGCCAAGAATAAAAATGGAGCCTCTAAAATGGATATAGAATCCAGGAATATGGGAAAGGCTGTCATCTGTGTTACAAAATGATCCCTGCATATGCTCTTGACGTCTCACAAGCTCTTCCTCAGACTTAAGGAATGGGGTGAAGGGGTGAAGGGGGTGAAGAAACCTGCTTCACTGAAATATGGTATTGGTTCTAAGTAAAAAGTTTAACCTTTTTTTTTAATGGTGAACAAAAATGCCCCAAGTAAAAAGCTCATGTACTGTCTGTTCCCAAACTCAGTTTCTACACATCATTAGAGTAGATAGGGAGAGACCGAAAAATCAAGAGATGGGGAGAGAGATAAATTAAGCTTCCAAGATGGACAAGAGAGTCCAGGACACCATCAAGCCCAATATTCAGAACTGTATTTCTGTATTAGTGATCTGCTTGCCCAGTTTAGAGTAACTTTTCATACTTAAGTGGATGAGAACAGATACAACATTACAACATTACAGTGGGTAGCGTTACATTTTAAAACTAGTAAGATAGAACATTTATTGTGGAAGGACCTTAATGATTTCTTTCCCTATATTCACATAATCCTCTACTTGAGCCTTAATTTAGTTCCCACCATCTCCATTCTTGTTTGTGAACCTGCTGTGCCCTGCAGAGATTTCTGGTGACTCCCGACACTCCGTTGCACTCCATTTGCTTTCTTCTTAGCCTCAACTTGACTCTAAGGACTTTAGTGCACACATGGAATCTT